AATAAGCGACTGGAAGACTGTTGTGTACGACTATAGCCAACCTAAACTTCTAAAAACAAAATCTAGTGAATAGAATAAGCCTCATTTTTATCGCTTCGGTTCCTGCTAGTTACTCCTCACTCACTAAGATTTTGATAACAAAGCTGTGGGATTCCTATATATTCATTGTGGCTCTATACAGCTGCTTTTAAAGATCTTTCAACATTGCATTTTCTTTGGGTTTCTATAGTTTATAGAATCGAGTAATGTATCAAATGATTGCCATCGTATTGCTTTATATGGTGCACAATTTTAGGAAATAAGCAATTTTACACTTGTATTTTTGACTTAGTGGAAAATTCCTTGAATTTTGTATAGACCTACAGAAACAAACATTTTAAAACTCAATACACCTTAACCAAATGATCAGCTGTAATAAAAGCTATTAAAGAAATCGTAATGTTGAAAAATTCTGAACTTTGATCCCATAACCTTATAAAGTTTACAGAATTTCATTTCTAAATACTTTCTTTGCATTCTTTTCCAATATATCATCCTCTTTCGCAAACCGGTTAAAACATAAGCGTATCGTTACACGCACATGTATTATACCATACATAATACCCTCTATAATCCATACATAAGGAGATCGTCCTTGCCGAATTGACATAGAATGTCGTCTATAGAAAAGGTAACAAAACTAACCCCTTGTGAATGTACTTTGAGGAGTTTCTATTGATAAATATTCATAATTACCCTAACTCCTTCACATTTTCTTGTCCTCTTTGTATAGAAACCTGTTTTATCTAAACTTAGTCCTTAGTAAGTTCAAACTTCCTTGTCGCACAGTTTTTTGTACTTTTTGGCAAGTTTTCTTTTAACTATAGCAAAAAAAAATGTTGACGAATTGTCGAACTCGCGCCGATAAAACGCAGCTAATCCGAATCTCTTTCGCTTGACTTCAGCCAATTATAGTTTGACGCGGAGTAAACACATATAATTTATTGTTATTCGCGCTTTTATAGCCAGGAAAGGTGGGAGCTTTTTCCTGTTTTTCCT